TTCAGGAAGTCCCCTGCAGAATGTAGTTCTGGTTTCCATGGGCACTCCACTGAAATCATATGTATTCTTAATCCCTCCTAAAAATAAGTGTAGAGATTTAAAAAAAAAAAAAAAACAAAACAAAAAAAGGCTTTTGATCTATGGAGTGGTTTGCAGTCTTAATTTTGCTTTCAGAAGCAATACCTGGATGCTTACCAGCAGAGGTAAAATGAAATGTCTGATCAGAGGCATGAGCATGTATGGTTCAGTGACATGGAAGGTCTTGGCCTTTTGGACCTACTTAAGGGAACAAGTATTACAGAATGGAAGTAAATCTTGTGGAAAAATGAAAAATAAACTGAAGTGGTCTGACTTCTGTGAAAGATACAAGTCCTCAAAAGCTATCCCTTTGTGGAGGGATGTCACTTGGTGAATGTTTTTGTTGCTATAGAAATTCTGGTAGATGTTCATGTGGCTTGTGCCGAGAAGATTAGATCATTATGATCATTCTTCTAGCCTGATGGAAAAAAAGCCTTTTCAACCTCAACTGCAATTTAAAGACCTCTTATTTTGGTGGCATTTTTATGGGGTTTGGAAGCTGTTAGCTCAAATGTGACTCTGTATTCCAATTTAAGACACTTGTCTATGGTAACTGTTGAAGTATTTGCATTTTGTGAGGCGAAGGCATAAATGATGTGTTTTGGTGAGCATTGCCAAGCATTTGCTTATTAGGAGGCTAATTCTCTCTATTGTGTAATCTTGAATGCCTTGTATCAGCCATGTTATGGTATGCATCTGGTCAGCCTAAGCTATTGCAACAGTAGATGTTGCATGATTAAATATAAACCTACTTGGGCAGCATAGTTTAGTTTAGATGAATTCATTGCAGGGTTCTGTTACACCATTGCTAAAGACTATTGGACAGATTTTCCTATTGCTGTGTGTAACCCTAAAGATTATTTGATTTGGGGGAGAGAAGAGAAGAGGAAGTGCTTCCTAAGCAGCTCAGCCAAGCAGCTTCTGTCACTTGTTGGAAATTCATGATAAGAAAACATTAGGGATTGCAGTGCAACTATTCTGTTTTGAAAAACATTTTATTGAATATAGAACTAAATTTCAGTAAAGTAAGTTTTTTGTCATATGCTGTCTGCATTCAGTAGTTTATTTCTAGAGACATATTATCTCTAAAATGCAGTTGTACTTGCTCTGTGTTCTAAAAGCAAATAAAATCTTAGCCTCTGCTGGAGAGGAACTGAGACTGGCACCAAAAAACATTTGATAGCTGTATGTAAATACAAAATGGTCTAGTTACACAGTAGGTTTCAGACATTAGTTTTGTTTGATTACAACTTGAAAGATCTGTTATTTAAGAAGCAGTGTCTTCAATGTTTTGTTTAGCAAATAACCAGATGTAATTGTAAATCAAACTTCTGAGTGCCAGATAAAGGAGCCTGCTGGCATCTCTTTCAGATTGTGAAACAATACTCTTAAGTATTTAAATGCCTGTGGGTTAGTCATCACAGGTAAAGAAAGTACAATTTCATGGAAAACTATGAAATATGTTTTTAATGCTTTTTGGTTTGGTTGTGTTGTGGTTGAATTGGCCTGGTTCTTTCTCATGTGAAAACACTTTGAAAGTTCTATGTATAAAGGCATTGTAGTTAATCTAGGGAAATTGTAGTACTCAGACTTAACTCCAGTTAGTTGGCCTTTTGTTGGCTGCAGAAAAAAGATCTTGATCAGCACTAAAAGGCCAGTGAGGTTTTTTGTTCTAATTTAGATTCCAGACTGGTTGGCATGAGGCTTTTCAAAAAGTCAGCAGTTGTCCAAGCAAACTGAAAGTGCTACCTGAAACAATCTATCAGAATTTTGCAATGTTAAATTGATTTATGCATGTAAGATTCTTCACGTGTGGTGTGAAAGGTAAGAATCAAAGCAGTTCCATGTTCAGAAGCTTGTGGTACAAGTTTATTTACTGTATTTATGACTGGCCTTGCATAGGATTTTAAAATTTACTGCAGCTTTCAAACTAAGCTTTCTTGGTGAGCTGTGAAATTGATGGTTGCCTTTTAAAATGCACCCACTGCAGTATTTTTAAACTCCTCAAATGCTCACTGTAAACACGCTGAATATTACAATTAAATATTTCGGAGAACTGCTTGGCTCTGACTTGTTTCATCTAAAGGCATTATCAGTGGTGAGGGGGCAAAAGTCTCCAGACTTATACAGACCATGTATTTTGAGTTGCAGTTTAAGTATTGCTGAATTTGTTGCTAAGGCGTATTAGCTTTAGGAGAGGAGAGCTGCTCTGGTAATTACAATAAAACAGGTTTACATTATAGAATGATACCTCCTAAGACTAGCATTCTCACTTGTATTATCTTTCAAAGGCTTGCTGTGTGACCTGCTGTGGTCTGACCCAGACAAAGATGTACAAGGTTGGGGTGAAAATGATCGTGGAGTCTCTTTCACTTTTGGTGCTGATGTGGTCAGTAAATTTCTGAATCGTCATGATCTGGATTTAATCTGTCGAGCTCACCAGGTATGAATTATGCTGCTGTTGCTTCTTAAAACCTCTCCTTCTAGACTTTCTGCCTCTTTGATGCTGCTTATCAGTGGGATATATTTGAAACTTACTTTGTATTGTTTTACTTTTAGGGGGGAAAAAACCAACCAATTTTCCTAATAAAGGGACTGTAAGGCTGTGTCTTTCTATTGACTCATACTGAACTGAGTGTCTAATGTCAGTGAAGTAAAATACTAACACTGGATTTCCCCATTGGTCTGTCTTTTGTATTGTCTGTTAACTGTTAGACTGTTGTATGTGAACATCAGAGGTAAAGTGTCCAGATTTAAAGTGGCAAAGTGATTTGAATTTGAGATTTACACTGAAGTTTTAGTAGTAGTCAGCTCTCTGGTAACTGAGGCTTAAACTGTCTCTGCTTCACTTCATGGAAGTATTAAATGCATTTTGAATGTTTCTACAAACAAGTCTGTACATAAGTTTTCACTATTGCCTTCATTTTGGTTCAGCTATCTAGAGTGCATTGGCATAGATTGTTTGACTTTATGAAATGTGCAGAAATCAAGGTTATTTTTGGCATCTTCAATTTAAGTATACTTTTTTTGCAGTTATTAAGTTACTTTAAGCAAGTGCCTAGGTAGGTGGACATCAGGTTTCAATTTCCTGTATAACATTTCCGTTTTATTATTTAGTCAATTTTAAAAGCTCTCTCCTGCTGTGAAACAAAACCAGGGTTTTTATTCTGTGTAACAGTTAGGCTTGATTATACTATCAGAATACTTAAATATTTCTCCTTGTAATTTTACTGCTGAAATGTTAGAGAAGATTAGTCAGCGTGTGGAATGGATATTAAGATTTCTTAACTGCTGATCAAGATCACTACCAATTTCTTGTATTCATGTAGTCATGCTATCTTTCGGAAGACCATGGTGATTGCACCAAAGTGAGCAGTTGGTGCACTGGTTTCACTACGTTATAATGTGACGCTTCCATTTTGGGGAAGAGGGAACATCCTTAGCTGGTGCAGCATACTACTTGCACTATTTAAAGGTGCGTTATGCTCTTGGAGAAAATATGGCAGAACCACTTTGCTTTTTAGAGCATCAAAACTCTAAAAAAGCCTACACTTGAGGTTTGTACAGTCAGCACCAGTGTAAGTGAAACTTAAGTTACAGTTGCTATGTAGATGGTATCCAGGCCTTACGTGCTCTGAACTAATAGCTAAAACATCCAAATTCTGTGTATAAACCATAAAATGTTGGGAATCCTTAAACTGGCAGTGCATAATCAGACTTCAGGTATGAAAATATTGAATAGTCAAGCTGATGCATATTTAACATTGGAAGTGTCAGACAGGTTAAGCTACCTGATTTGGCATTCATTGTCCAGGTAAGACAAAACGACTGAACCTGTCCTGTCTGAAAGCAAAGACATAAAATACCTTTTTGATGAGTTCTTGTCGTCTCTTTAGTATAAGTCCTCTTTGCCTCAAGACTGGCTTTTTTCTTCAAAATTTATCCTGGTTTTTATTAGCTCTGTTGATTTCTCTGGTGTTGACAGGTGGTTGAAGATGGATATGAATTCTTTGCTAAACGGCAGTTGGTCACCCTATTCTCAGCTCCAAATTATTGTGGAGAGTTTGACAATGCAGGGGGCATGATGAGTGTGGACGAAACTCTGATGTGTTCCTTTCAGGTATGATATATTTATACATTAATTATTACTTTGAGGTCTATGGACTGAGTTACTGGCATGTTTATGGTTAGTCTAGGGTAATATACTTGAGCTACAGAAAGCACTGCACAGCAGGCTGGTGTTTGGACAATTAGAACTGCAAACCAACTGTTCTCCAGAGAACTGTATGGGATTTGGTATTTTCCAAACTCCTGCCTATTAAGTTATTCCCTCTATTCAGATGCTCATTTCAAAGTTTAATTGGGCGATTCTTTTTAGTCATACCTAGTGATCAGAGTACCTAATTATGCAAACTAATGGACTATTGGGACCTTTTTAGTGTAGTTACTGTGATCAGATTTTAATCCTTACTCCTTCATGGACATGTTTTTAGCCCCTTTTCTTTCCCATTCCCACCCCAATGTGGTGCTAGAGCTAGAAGGATTTAGAAGTAGTATTATCATTGTATGTAGGATTAAGAAATTTGTAGGATTGTGATGTCATTTCCCCCTCACCCCTCTTGTTTTGAATGGGATTTCATGTTGGCTTAACAGTATTTTAAATCTTCTTAGTTGTCTCTGACTCAAAAGAACTTCTTTATTTTCTCCAAGATATTGAAACCATCTGAAAAGAAAGCCAAGTACCAGTATGGTGGACTGAACTCTGGACGTCCAGTCACTCCACCTCGCACAGCTAATCCACCGAAGAAGAGGTGAAGAAAGGAATAATGTAGAAATACCATCAGATCTGTCAAGGACAAAACTCCATATTACAGTATATAATAAGTGTGCACTGTAAAACCATCCAGCCATTTTGACACCCTTTATGATGTCACACGTTTAACTTAAAGAGACGGGTAAAGGATCTTTATTAATTTTTTTCTAGTAGAAAGATGTGCGACACTGTATTGTAACAAGTATAGCTCCAAGTTCTAATATCCAGCATAGAGTAAAAAAAAAAAAATACTAGGAAAAAACTATTGCAACTACATATTCACATTTACCACGGTTTTTAAAGTTGACCAACATCCCAGTTTAAACTTGATGTAATAGTTAAACCAGATGAGAGCATGATGTTCCATTTGTGTAATGTGGTCTTATTGTTGCTTGATTGCTTTTACTTTGGTTATTTTGTAGCTAGAATGATGCGAATATGGTATCTAGTCTTATTTCCCCTTATTTCCTCTCTTTGAAATTGAAATAAGGAAGGGGCTTTTTTAGAACAGCCATTGATCTCTTATCCTTCCCCTAGCCCCGTTGTTCATAATAATGCCACCCAAATGTGTGCCCCATTATCATGCCAAGTTTATAGTACGGTAGCGATTAAAAGGCAAACTACTAAGTCCAAAATGCCCAGACTGGACAGCTTGACAGCCAACATAAATTGAGACAGAAAAACCTGTCTTGACTTTTTAACTTAAACTGCCACACAACGAATTTGTGCACTACACTATTTTAAATTATTGATGTTACACTGTGCTATGGCACTTCGTTTAACTTAGGACAAAAATGGTATTGCCTATTAGTTGGTAACTTGATTATGTGGTACCTTGGCTTTAGTTTTATTAGCATGAAACACCTTTGGCATGCTTAGCTTCCAGGTAACTCCCTACCTGCATCAGAATTCATCTTGCATAGTTCCACAGAACATGAAGATCCTTATTTGCTAAGCCTTTGAAAGCTGACATTCTTTTTCACAAAAGGGTGTGTTTAACTGGATGTTCATCAATGGAAAAATGGCTAGCTGATGAGTGGTGAGCTGAAAATGCTATAGGAATGTCCAACATGATTATAAGGCTTAAGTCACTAAAGATTATATCCTTTGGATTTTCATGATCAAATTTCATATACTATTGTATAGACTTCTGCTTTGTAGTGTACTATAGTAGCAATAATTTCTGTACATGATCAAGAGTTATGCAGTATTTCTTTTCAGTTTTCTCCTTTCTTAAAAGTGTTAACATTGGCAAATGGCAAGATACAGAGAAAATACAAAATTTATAGTAGGATAAATGAAAGGCACAGATTTGTGATGCTTTAGGATGCAATACTTATTGGATATAACTACAAAAGCTTTTATTGAATATTGTCAAATTTGTAAGATTCTTTGGGGGAAGGCTTCAGATTTATACCATTCTAAATGTGCATCAGTAGATGTAAAACTCTTGACTTCAGTATTGTCTTTGAAGATGTTAAATTGAGGATTCTGGTAACTTACGTTTTATGAACTGGCACATTATATAATGCAAGAGATATATTGATTTCTGACACAGTGAGCAAGTTCTTTAAAATGGATTTAAGTCTCTTTTCTAATTCCATTTTGTTTTAAATGCATATTTTAAATGTAGGTTTTTTCATTTAGTAAAAGTTGTCTAATTCATTTGAAGTCTGACTGGTTATTTTGACATACCTTACTGTTACTTAAGAAGTGTGGACTTTGTTGTTTTTAAGAAAACAACAAACTTACAGCATACATATGTTATTGATTTATATTGGATTGGTCTGTGGTTTTGAACAATGGTTTAATTTACCCCACCTTGAAGCAAGCACCAGAGTTTCAATACATAGAAGAAAATGTAGATTTCTTCTGATACTATTCAAAGATGCTTGTTCTTGAAAGTCAGTGGTGAAAGCTGTGTAAGTGAGAGTAACTTCAGCTTGTGACAAGGTAGTTGATGAAATCTGTTCTGTAAGCTTTGACAGGGTAACTTCCTGCTCTGAGTCATTGCTTACTTGAGGTTTAGTCATACAAGTTTTGAAAATGCTGGGTTTTACCAAATGCCAGCCTCTATTATAAGAAGCATCATGTTACCAAACATCTGGATTAATGCTTTTCCATTTTTTCTTTAGTTTCTGGAATAATGTCTTCTGTATCATGAAATGTCCAGGTATAAAGCTGTATGTTATGTGAGTACCTAACATGCTCGCTTGTACTACAGATGCTATGTCAAAAGGAAAATAAAGTCTTCAGGCCTTCTTATGTGTCCTAAAGAAAGAGGAAATTCTTAGTTTATTTTATGGCACTAGCAAGCCAGATGTGGTGGTGGTATTCTGAAGAACTGCTATTTTTATATAGCAGCAATCACTTCCAAAGGATTTGAGTGCTGTTTTGACTTCTGGGGAATTCGAACGTCAGCTAACATCCCTCCCCTGGAAAAACGTAGAAAAAAGTACATGATTTAGTAACCTTACCCCTACACGTATGATTGATATTCCATAGTAAAAGGAAGCCAATGTTAATATTTTTTTAGTATTTTTGCTATTGTCCATTCTAGAAGAGGTAGAAAAAAAGAACCTGAATCTAATTATATTCAGATAAAACTAACTTTTTCTTCTGTGGAAATCACTAGTGGTCTAATCGCTAATAAGTTTTTTTTTTTTCTTCTATGTAAGCATCTCGTCTGTACAAGCCTAAAATGCTGCTAAATAGCACAGTATTAGTGTGCTGGGAAGTAACAGCTCATTTGAGAATCCTCCTGTTAAGAGGCATATAAAACGTTACACCATTTGAGGGATATTTTTGCATGTTCTCCCCCAGCTTCTTTTATCTGATGGTATTATCCATTCCTGATTTCATAGCAGAGTACAGCATGGCACATAACCTCTTGTCTTGTTCCTTTTTGATTGACAGACATTTTGTGACTTCCAGACACTAGAGAAATACCTGCTTTAATCTAGGTTAAAATATTGCTGTGAGGAATGCTTCTTTAGTCTCTTTTGTGTTGATTGATATGAGATTCTTGTTTTGCATTACTTTTTTTCTGTATGCTCCATAGTGGTCAGTGTTTTCTATGCATGGAATAGTCATAATTTTTGCTGCTTTAAAGGAGGAAAACAAATAGTGTTTCATATAGTTGTGGTTACTGTGCTGCTGTAATACCTTGAACACTATTTCTGTTTTGGTGGAGTTGTTTGTACTGATCTGATCTACTTCCAAAAAATGATGTGAAAATAGACTCACTGAAACCACTGTAATGGGTCTTACACTAGTGGATTGTATTGTTTGCTGTATCTGGACACATAGAAATACTTGTGGCTGCTGAAGTCTGAGTTGGTCTTTTTGCTTCTAACTTAGCGTGATTAACTGCAGGCATACTGCTGCTAGGTGTCACCAAGCTTCGTGATCCTGTTATGAGGATGGTTTGCGTTTGTACTGTATTCTCCCTTGAAAGAGGAGTTAATAGGTACATATGACATGACTTGTATCCTGGTGCAGTGCGTTGCTGTGTACTTACTTGCCTGGGACACTCCGATGGAAATTCTTCATATCTCTGGAAGGAGGTTGCTTTTATTGCTAATAGCCTGCATCCCTGTTCTAAGGTTGTTTGAAGATAGAGATCCTCTCTGCTGTGTTTCTGCTAAAAGATGATAGGAGTTGATGAGCAGCAAAGTATCTTTTTTTATGCAGAAATGTTCCTGCCTGTGGCTTATCTTTTGATAAATCCAAGAAGATATTGCTGTTATACAGTGGAAGCTGTCAGATTAAATTACTGGGGCTGTATGTGGTTAGTTTGGGGTTGGCAAACACATTGTAGTGTAGTAATGGAAATATAAAAGACACTACTGTTATCGAATACGGTTGAACTGAAGGTGACCTGAGTAACTCCATTTTGGATAGCTGGAATTTTCAGAATATGTAGGTGACAAACACAAATAACCCATGCTTGGCCTTTGGTGTGAAGCTCAAAGGTTAACAGAATAGGATACCTGTTTTGTAGAGGCTTATGTAGATAATAGTTGTAAAAACACCAGTTAAAGGCTAGGTTGAATTTCTTCCAGGCAAATTGTCAATGTTGTATCCGTGGTTGGTGTTTCTGGAACTTTTTGCTGTCAGGTTTGTTAGAGATGAAGACACTTTATACAAACCTGATGGGTAACATTACAGCCTAGCAAAGAGCAGAGGCAAAGTGATACTGTCAATATTGTATTGCTTTTGAACTTGTTGAGTTGTAACTTGATTCATGATTGGCATCCGTCTGCTTTATAATGTATATGAGGATAAATGTGAATATTTGGCTTCAAATGAAAAAGCAAAGGGTGAGAGGATGTCTCCCAACACTAGAGATGACTACAGCACAGTCAAGTATCTGTCTCTGAGTCCATGTGGGCTAATAATAAGCTTTAAAGAGCAGTGTGGTTTTTTTTAATACAAAACAGTTGTGATGAAGTTCATGCACGTAGTCATCTTGTCAATAAAAGAACTCAATGAATCAATACTAGGCTTGGGATATTTAGGCGTAGCCCTGGGTATTTTTTTTCTCTGCTGTCATCTGTTTGCTTCTTCTAACTAGCAGTAGCAGCTTTCAAACTTGCTATCAGTGCAGGTGTATACTTTTTTTCTCCTGGATCATACATTGATTTTGCTTGCTTTGTTCCAAAGGTTGGTCAAAGGTTTTGATGACAGCATCTAACTAGATAGCTGCATGCATGAGCTTATAACCAAGCATTCTTCTCACTGCCACGTATCAGATGATCAAAGCTGAAGGAACCTCAGGCCTTGTTGGACTGAACACTGGAAAACCATGTGACAGTAAGTCAGTGTTGGGACTGTAAGTTACGAAGACAAGACACAAGTTTGGGTACTTTGTGTTGTTATAGGTCTGCCAGGTTCCTGTCTTCTGTGGATTTCTGGAACTGGTAGTGCTTGAGCATCTTCTTTGTAACTCATATTGAGTTGTTAGGAAACCAGCAAGGCTGTCTGGTTACTTATATATCTTAGTATGCCTTGTTAAAATAAATAATGATATCACCATGTTAATTGGTAATAAGGACAACGTTTCATTCTGTTTCCCAGTATCCTGTTTGAACTCAATCTCTGCACCTGTATGTCCCAAGAAATGAGAATTTAAAACCATAATTCAATACAACTGTTTGCCACAAGCCCTTGCCAATACCTGGCTACAGGTAATCTTTTCCAAAGAAGACTCTTACTGCTGCCTGAAACAGTCTGAACAGGT